GATAGGATAGGATAGGATAGGATAGGATAGGATAGGATACATCCCTGTATGAATTAATTGCTGAAGGCATTACTGATGCTTTGGTCCCTGTCCCAGTGAGCCCAGCCCAGCACAGCTGGGGCTCCTGCTTTGCTGTGGCAGTGCACTGTGCTCTCCTGGGCAGAGTTTCCATGTGTCTCTTGTTCCCTGGCAGGAGGGAGGCGTGCAATGAAGGAGAAGGGGACCCTCCCCTGTATGTGAACGTGAACATGTACACGGGCCAGCTGATGAACACCTGGATTGACTCCCTGCAAGCCTTCTTCCCCGGACTGCAGGTGAGCTTTCCTTCTGGAAAAGGCCAAGTAGAGAGGCTCACCCTAATCCTGGGCTGGGAATGAGTGTGAGCAGCTCTGAGCTGAGCTCCCACCTGTGGGTGTGCATCTGGCTGCTCTGATAAGAGCTCAGTTCAGCTCTGCACTGAGATAACCATGTGGGGAGCTCTGGCCTGCTCTCTGCTGGATCTGAGAGACTTTCAACTTCCCTCTTTCAACCTCAGCATTTGTATTCTGTGCGCGAGGCTGAGCTCTGCTGAAGCTTTTACTGCAACGAGTGAATACATCAGTGCTTTTGGGGGTGTTATTTTGTGTGTGTTTTCTGAGGGGAGCATTGTTTTAGATGCCACATTCCAGCAGTAAGTGTGCATGTCTCTGGCTGTTCCTGTGCCCAGGTRCTGATAGGAGATGTGGAAGATGCCATTTGTCTCCATGCCTTCTATTATGCCATCTGGAAACGTTATGGAGCCCTCCCAGAAAGGTACAACTGGCAGCTGCAGGCCCCAGAYGTTCCCTTCTACCCACTGAGGCCAGAGCTGGTGGAATCCACATACCTTCTTTACCAGGTATTTCACTTTTCTGGGTTACACATCATGGGCTGGCCGAAATGCTTTTGTTTTTGTCACTTTTCCCCCCTGACCTCTGGCCAGCTGAGGTTTGGCAGCYCTGGAGCTGCCTGTTGTCATGTGGAGCTCTCTGGGCAGGCACTGCGTTGTTGTGCAATGTTGGTGCTCTGCTGTTTGCTTCAAAAATAGCCTTTTTTTTATAAGTCAGGCAAAACCAACMCTGAACAACCTCTTCTAGAAGCTGCTGGCACATTTTTACAAGGGAGAGACATGGGGCTGTGAACCAAAATGGTTGGAGTGAATGTAATAGCTTTCCTTGCAGTGCTGTCCAGGCACAGCCTGCAGCTGGCAGAGAAAATAAACTGAAATAACTGTCTGCCTACAAGGAGAGTATCAGAGAGTTTGGATTTACTACAGCTTTTACTGGGATTTGCACTAAAGCAAATGTGAGAAGCTTGCACAGGGTAATCCAAGTCATGCTCCTCGAAAGATAAATTTGCTGTGATACACAAGCCTCTGGTACCAATAGGCCTTTGTTGTGTTATTTTTACAAGATTTCAAAATTGCTGACTCTAACTCTTGTCTGTCTTCCTTATTCAGGCCACAAAGAACCCATTTTACCTTCATGTGGGAATGGATATTCTGCAGAGTTTGGAAAAATATACAAAAGCAAAGTCAGTCTTCAATGTTCTTTTCTTCTCTCAGTGCTATATACATGCATTTTATTATACAAATATTGTATAGAATCCAGTCTGCCACATGTAGGTAAACCAGAAAATCCAACCCTCCWTGAATGCCACAGGAGATTATTTAATTGTTGAACACTTCTTTCTTTCCCATCTGAAAATTAAATTCTAGTCCAGTGGCAACTTTAAGCCTTCAGAATTTCAGAACTGCCTTTCAAAATGCATTGCTGATGATCAGCTACTAAAAACTGCTGCAAGTGGTAGTTGGGATTTTTCCTAGGGATCCTGCAAGATTTTTTCACCTCATGGTGTTTAGCTGAGCTGAGGGATGGCCCCTCAGCAAATCAGCTTCAGTTCAAGACAGCAGCAGTGAATCCTGAGGAGCTGAACTTCTCTCAAGACTYACAGGGAAGACAGTGGATTTTTACTGCTCATTATTAAATTACTCATTTTGTAGACAAWTGTGTAACATTTGAGCAGATCAGMCACTGCTGTTGAGTGGGGTTCAGGTGATCCCAGACCCATCAGGACTCAGAACCAATAGCCAGTGAGTGCTTGCACAGCACAGTTGTTCCATTTGAGCCTCACCCCTGGCAGTTGGAATGATCWGAAGGAAAGGAATGTCTGGGGAGCRTTGGAGAGCAGGATAGCTGGGAATTTAGCTGGGAATTTAACCCAAACCAATGCTCACTGTTGCAGGTGTGGCTATGCCACGTTGCACCATGTGGTGGAGAAGACAAAGGAGGATCGAATGGAGAGCTTTTTCCTCAGTGAAACCTGTAAATACYTGTACCTGGTACGTGTGTGTTCCTCACTGTGCATGAACATGGCAGAGGGAGCAGGAGGTTTAATTAATATTGATAATTAATTATCAATTATCAGTTGTTAATTAAACTGTGTGGGGCTGGGACAGGGCATTATTAGAAATTGCTGGGGTTTGTGTATGGGAGTGTAGCAGGCTGTGCTGCTCTTTTTTGGTCTCATCCAGTCTCTGAGGTGGGACAGCTCTCCAGGTGAGCTTCCTGAGCCTGGAGAGCCTCAGCTTTTTGGGAGGAGCACAGGGAGCAGCAGTGCAGGGAGCTGCTGCTGAGCTCTGAGCTAATTGCTGCTTGGAGCCCTCCTGCCTGGAGCAGCCTCTGCTTTCCCCCACTGCRCTCTGGCAGTCACAGGAGAAAGAGTTCAGGGGCTGCCATTGCCTAAGCTCCTGTTCTCAATCTCCTTTAGTGCAGAAAACCAAATAAATCTGTGACTGAGTGGGTGCCAGCCTAGAAATGCCTCACAGAGCAGCTTTGAAATAGTAAGGGCAGTTTACATTGTGGGAGAAGTTTTTCTTCTGCTCTCCTCTTTTAACTGCTCAGATCAATTTAGGACTATTTATTTCCRTTTGCTCGGGCATGATTTAGCACTAAAAGGTATTTTTGTGTGACCYTTTGAAGTGTGAGTATTTGTAACTCCTTGCTGCTGGGAGATGAAGGATGTTACACACCTCCARTGACCATCTCTCCCATCTCTTGTGCAGTTGTTTGATGAAGAGAATCCATTGCATAAATCTGGGAATAAGTTCATGTTTACTACTGAGGGCCACATCGTGTCTGTGGACGGGCGTTTTCGGACCTCRCTGTGGGAGGACATTCTCCCTGGAGAGGAGGAGAGTGCTGACAGAGCCAAACCTGCTGAGCTGAAAGCAGCCAACTTCAGCTCCAATGTAAGAACTGCTCCTGCCCGGGGCTGGGGAGGAGGGCAAAGAGAGCCTTTGGAAATGTTACTGTGGAGTATTTCCTGTGGAAATGTTAAATGGCTGAGAAGCTCCCACGAAAAGCACTTCCAGCAGCAGCATAAATGGGTTATGGTGAAGGGAAAACCTGTTCCCTTTGAACTATTTTGCAGCATTTTTTCTGTTCTATGTTAATTTATTTCTAATAATTTTTCCCTTCCACTTTTCTTTGCCCCTAAAAATTTCCAGTGTGGCTGTCAGGGCAAGAGGGAGCAACAGAGGGTCATTTAAACAAAGCTTTGTCTTTTTTTGGGGTTTTGGGGGTATAAAGGGGACTTTTCCTAGCAGGCCTCAGTGAGCCCAGAGCTGTGGCTCCAGTGCCCATCACCAGCCAGAACAGAKCTGCTTTAATCACAGAATCACAGAGCTGAAAGGACCCTAAAGACCATCTCATTCCAGCCCCATGGGCAGGGACACCTTCCACTCGAGCAGGTTACAGGATAATGTTTTAAATCTCTGCTGTGGCTCCTTCCCTCCTCCCCTCAGAGCTCCAGGAAAAGAGCATTATTTTAAACATTCACAGTTGTCATAGTGARGGGAATCTCAGTTGCACAACAAGCTGTGCTGTGTGTTTGGAAGCTGCAGCCTGCTCTAGGGAAACACTCGCTGCTCATTTATGGGATTTATGCTGGAAGTGTGCAAAGGAACAGGGAAAGTTGGGGTAAAAAGTTATTTGGTACAGTTTTCTGTATTGGGGGGAAATCAGAAAGGATTGCAGGGGGATGGGATTGCCTGGGTTTGGATTTGAGTTTTTTAAAATACTTTAATTTCCTTCCCAGTGTAACAGAGTCCCTGATGAGAGGAGGTACCTGCTGCCCCTAAAGAGCAACTACATGAGGCAGATCGACAGAATGGTGGGACTGATCTGAGTGATGCTCCAGGGAGCCTGGAGGAGCTCRGGATTCCTCTGCTGACATTCCAACCCCTTCAGCTCCTCCCTGAGTCCCCAAGGTGTCCCCTGGGCCTGGTGGGAGCTGTGGACACAAAGGAGATGGAGCTCAACCCCCTGATCTGGGTAACTCCTGTGCCACCTCAACAGACAGCTCCTGGTTGAAGACTTCTATGAAAAACATTGCAAATGAAGGCTGAATATATTTCAAAAGAAAAAGAAGGCAAATTRGCCTGTGCCACTTAGCTACCTCTTTGTAGCTGTGTTACAGAAGTCCCTCCAGAGAAGGGTCTGATATTTCATTTGAAAAGCTCTTGGGGCTTGGGAAAGCAGTGGGAAAGTGCAATTTTTTTTACACCAAGTTGAATTATTGAATTTTTCTGACTAGCAATACACATCTTTAAGGTCTACTCAGGTAGGAACCCGCTGGGTTTGCTGAAACAAAACTGTTCTGTTCTTGGGAAGAGARCTCCTGGTGGTGTAAAAGCTGTTGGTGGAGTCTGATATCCCTCAGCCACAGCTGAACCTGCAGGGTTGTGAGAGCCAAAACCAGGGATCAAACCAATCCAGGTGCCTTTTGGGAGGGGATGGGGGAGGGCAGGGGGAATTGCAAAGCCACTCAGGCAGAAGTTCCCAAAGTTTCCTTGTTTGCCATGTTTTAGTGCCTTTTCAGGAGAGATGCTGCTAAGAGCTGGTGTAACAGTGCATGAAGAACAAACTATTTCACATTCCTGACAGCATTCATGTGTTAGTGCCTTAAGTTCCCTTCAAAGCAGGGAAAACTGAGCTTCCTTGGGAGGATGGAAAAGTATTTCTGATGAGCTGGTTGCAAAATACAGTGGAGCCCAAAGTCCCTCAAAAAGGAACTTTAAAAGAGATGATTTTCATTTTTTTTTTTTTTGAGATACTGGAAGAATATTTGCCTGTGGATATTCTCCAGGAAGAAAGCAGTTAAGGGCTTGAGGGATGAGAACAAACTGAGGCCAAAACAACTATTTTAAATATAACAGGTTTTTTTTTTTTCAGTGGTTCCCCACTGCTTATATACTTTTGACTACAGTTGAAGTAGCAGAATGTTATTTTTGGGTTAATGATTTTTAAATTGAGGCTTAAATATAAAAGGAAGTTGATCTGCTGTATTTTCACCTCCTTACAACTGCATTGGTTTTCATAAACCATGTGTTGCAAGTCAAAACATTTCTAATAAATATGAAGTTTGTGCTGGAGAGGTTATTGGTGGAATCTTTTAATGTACAGATGCATCTCAGGGACTTTGTTGTAGAATCTTCTTTTCTGTGGTAGTTAAATATTTTATTGAGGCAAAAAAAATAATCATCAAGTCTTCTTAGTCTTACTGTGTGTGTTTGAAGGGGTGAAGGGTGGAGGGGGGGAGGGAAATAAGTTAAAATTTCCTAAAATATTGCAATAGAATGGGTTGCCTTGGTGTCTGAGGCAGCTGGCAATTCCAGCTCCTCGAGGATTGGCTTTGCAAATGTATTATTGGAATGTCTGAGCTGCCTGTGKCAACAAAAGCAGGAATTCACAGTGCTGTGATCCAGACAGGCTGGGGCTGTGCCAGGGTGAGAAGGA